GAAAGAGCAGTCCTCAAAAGAGTCCCGCCTACCTCACAGGGTGTCTGTTGTGGGGAGGGGAAGGAAAAGGAGTTTGTAAGCCGCTCCGAGACTCCTTCAGGTAGTGAAGGGTGTGTCAGCTAAGGAGTCTCAGAGCAGCTTACAATCTCCTTCCCCTTCCCCACAACTGACACCCTCTGAGGTAGGTGGGGCTGAGAGAACTCTTCTGAGAACTGCTCCTGAGAGAACTTGTGACTGACCCAAAGTCACACCAGCAGCTGCATGTGGGGGAGTGGGGAATCAAACCCGGTTCTCCCAGATTAGAGTCCGCGCTCCTAACTGCTACATCAAACTGGCTTCACAACCCGCAAGTCACAAGTCAAGTCTGTTTTTATTGCATCAGTGAATGAAATTGTGACAATAATTCCATCAAAATAAAACCATGAAATTTCCAGACGTGTTCACAGGGAAAATTAAAATGTATAATGATGATTTAAAATATCTCGAAAGAAAACTACCTTGGAATCCAAACGGCTAATGACTCAGAATGGAGCAGTTGGTGTGCAGGTCAACCGTGCTTACATCAGCTTGTGAAAGCATTACATTCCTAGTCCAGCAATCCTATACACTCTAGGCCAGGGGTGTCGAACTCATTTGTTATGAGGGTCGGATCTGACATAAATGAGACCTTGTTGGGGCAGGCCATGTGTGTCATAAAATGTAATGCCAGGTAGCAGAGATATAAACTTTATAAAGGACACAAAGTTTTTTTTTTACTTAAAATAAAAACATGCTTAACACATTAGCATTCTTGCAATATTTTGTTTATTTAACAGTGTCTGATAACGGGCACCTCTTGCTCTGAATTACTGCCTCAAAATGCCTGCGCTGTTGCAATCCTGAGTAGTCTGTTCAGGTGTGTATCTGCAAGCTGCAAACCTACGATGACGCAGCAGCAGCAGAACTGGAAGAAGAAGAAGCAAAAGACAGCCAGTTCCACTGCGGACCTGATAGAAGCACTCAGGGGGCCTGATCCGCCCCCTGGGCCGCATGTTTGACGGCCCTGCTCCAAGCAGGCCTCTAGATAGGACTGGCAGTTGCAGGGTGGGAAATTTCTGGTGATTTGGAGGCAATGCCCGAGGAGAGTGGGTTTTGGGTTGGGACCTCAGCAGGGTATAGTGCTGTACAGTCCAAAGGAACCATTTTCCCAGAGGAACCGATTTCTGTCATCTGGAGCTCCATATAATTCTTGGAGATCCTTGGGCCCCACCTGGAGTTTGCCAACTAGGGATGCTACACACACCCCGTGGGGGAGGGTCTCCTGCTGCCAGGCCCGCCAGCAGGGGGGGTCATTCCGCCCGCCCCCCAAAAAAGAGAGGACCACCAGAAACTAAAGTGATATGTCTACATGACTTGAAAGTGACATAGGCACGTCGGGAACGATGCTCTGTTTTTTTGGGAAACTATGGTAGAATTCTATCGTAGAGTTTTGCCCAAAAACCAGAGCATCGCCCCCGACGTCCCTGATGTGCCCACATCACTTCTGCATCATGTAAGCGCACCGCTGAAATGCCAGGCGTTCCTCCCTGCTCCGGGTACGTTTGGTGTCGTGGTTAAGTGTGCGGACTCTAATCTGGGAGAACCGGGTTTGATTCCCCACTCCTCCGCTCGCAGCTGCTGGATGATCTTGGGAAAACCGTAGTTCTGTCAGAGCTCAAGGGTAGTCCTGGAAAGAGCTCTCTCAGCCTCGCCTACCCCACAGGGTGTCTGTTGTGGGGAGGGGGAGGGGGAGGAGTTTGTAAGCCACTCTGAGACTCCGAGTGAAGGGCGGGGTATAAATTCAATCTCTTCTTCTTCTTCTTCTTCTTCTTCTTCTTCTTCTTCTTCTTCTTCTTCTTCTTCTTCTTCTTCTTCTTCTTCTTCTTCTTCTTCTTCTTCTTCTTCTTCTCTTCTTCTTCTTCTTCTTCTTCTTCTTCGTGCACCCCTCTATCCCCTGCTGGCTGCGCAGAGAGACCTGGCTACCCTATTGGCAATTCTTGCTCTTACAGATTAAGCTACGTTGTCCTAAGCTCGTTTGCTAGACGAAGGCAAATTCCATGCAATGTGGTTCAATTGCATTGCAAATTTCCCAGGCCAGCACGCTCAAAAGACCCAGGAAACACTGGAGGTTACGGAAAACCAGCGGCTCTCTCTGGTGTACTGTATCTTGCCTAATTGGTTGGTGATCACTTCCATCTTGAAGAAGCCCTGCTTC